TATGAGCGCGATTTGGGTGAACAAATTATCCAGACCTGAGAGAGTGTTTGCTCAAAATCTGGTAAGGCTGAAAATGAAGACAAGAGTCAGCCACGTTAAACAGTAGCCAGGCAGTTACCAAAAGCCCTTGGGTGGGAAAAAAGAGTTGGTTTAAGGTCAAGTATAAAAAGCACTAACATTTCTAACAGTGAGAAGACAGCAGCAGCCAAACCCCAGCCTGACACTGCAAAGATGCCCTCGCAGCACCTCCAGCTCTGTTGAGGCCCGAAGGAGCCCCCTCCCCAGCAGCCTGCGTGCCTGCCGGTGGGCTGACAGAAGAGCGTGCAACAAGCTCTGAGCACTCCCGGGGTGCCTGCACCTCACCTCCTGGGGTGCTACCCCAACAGCTGGGTGCGTTATCGGAGCGTAAGGAACAACACAGGTAAGCATTCAGCTACAGCACCCACAGCTGCAAAGAAGATGGATGTAAATAGGGTAATGTACTCTGAGAAGGGTGGGCTCTTATAACAGAAAATCTCCCATTAAAAGGGACAGAGGTGGGCATGGAACTGCAAACTTATGGGGGATTGCTGTAGAAGGGGGTTTAAATATCTGAAGGTGTTTACTAAAGGTTTTGTAAGGGTCTAGTACAGTCATTTATCTGTTATATTGCTGCTATTAATCCTGCATATATAGTTCACAGACTAACAGTTAGTTACAAATTATTAATAAATCAACAAACCACTTGAAATCTAAATTGATTTAAGCCACGAGTTGTTTTCCTCTACAACAAGAACATGCATTCTCTTCAGTGTTTTCTTCACACTGATATGCAGCCTTTGGCTAAAACTTACCTGTCTCAGTTTTGTTTTGGGTTTTTTTATTCTCTTTTTCCTTATCCTTCACCTGAAGGGACCCAAGACACTCAGGAAATCAACCAACTAGCTATACATGTCACATTTACTTCAGTACTCTGACTGATTCCAATCAAACTGCTACAATAACTGTACTCCCCCAAAGTGACAGTTCCAAAACCTGGACCAAAATACATCATGTCCTTGAAAAGTGGGTATTAAGTTCTTGGATTAGACAACAAAAATTTAAAAGGTTTAACATATATGCTGGCTTTCTGAAGGTGGCTTCTTGAATAAGATGCTCTAACGAATTTAAACCACTAGATCAGGTCTCTGCATGAGGACATTCCAATTAAACACCGTATGGAAGACCAGTGTGTTTCTCCCATCTAGAAAACATTGAAGAAAGGGTCATTCATATTTTTCTTTTTTAGCAGAGTAAAAAGATACAGTTAAATGTAGTTTTGTATGATTCACTTCTATACTTCTGCTGATTGCATTTTAATACATTAGAGGTAATCAAGAATCCTTTCCCATGTTTTAACATCACAAATTCTCAGAGTCTTTTGAAAGCATAGGATCTGCAAAATCTAATGGTTAGGTTACAAAATGTAGGGCCTCATTATCATCTCTATATTCTAAGTAGACTTGCATAAAACTATACATTGACAGGTCTTGTAATCAAAGACACTGAACAAGCATGCTCTCTGCTCTGTGACTCAGACCCTCAGAACGTTTCTGAGGCTCAAAAATACTAATGTCTGTTAAGGGTAAACATGCTTCTTCTAAACTTTTTTTAACTGATGGGCTCCTAACTTCTGATTAGTCTCCCAGAATTCTTTTTTCCATTCTTCTGCAATCAGGAGAAAAACATTCTGTATTATGCATAACGATTTTTAAAACTAACTAAGCTTACAAGAGACATTATGTCACCTTAGCAACTACTTTTTAGAAGTTATGCTGCAAAACCTGATTTTTAATGTGCACTTAGTTTAAAATAATTTCGCGAGTGGCAACCACATTCTTCCTCATTATAACTTTAGAAAGCCATAAAGACTTCAATCAGAAAAAGAGAATTAAAATATAACTGAGCCTTATGCTACAAAAACATCTGTTCATAGTAAACTAACTGTTTGCAAAGCTATTCATACAAGTGCCATACAAAGAAAGCGACTGGTGGAAACCAGAGTAACCTAGAATTCCAAGAAGAAATACTACAGAAAAAAAATCCTGCAGTTAGAAACACACATAAGAGGTAGCTATTCAAATGTAGTCAGCCAGGGAAATGAAGACCTTACCTGTCAGTTGCATGCCCCCTAATTCCAAGCAACACTGCTCCAATGTCGTATTTATTACTCCTCACTTGTACTACTCCCCAGCCCTTTTCCAAGTTAACGAAACATCTAAACGTGTTGTTTTTTTTTTCCCCCAACTGCTAGGAAGAAAACTACTCTTCTGTTTCTCCCTGTTCAGAAGGTACATTTCCCCATTACGAAACCACATTCTTGTCTACTTTACTATTCACATATTCCATCCGTGAAATATGGAATTAAAGAACTGGAAATCCTTCCTTTTCTCTCACTGAACTGAGTGCTTCAAACAAGCACAGTAGGAGCACTTCTCCAATTAACATTTACCCAGCACATTCCACCTCCTCATTCCCTTAACACATCTGAGTCACAACCACCAGCTCAAGTGACTGGAAATTAACCTACTAAAGCAAAAATGCATAAAGTTAGTCATTTGACACAGACCTTTATAGAAGCCTACATCTGGGAAACTGGAAAGTTTCCCCTTGAAATAAGTGAATGTTACTTAAGTCAAAGAAGATCTGTAGAGAGATACAGTATCTTGCATTAAGTACATTGATGTACTACAGGGAAAGAAAAAAAGGAGGCTTACAGAGAAACGCTCTTGTTTTAGATTTAGTCTTAAGATAAAGGGGTATAAAGGTTATCAGACCACTTACAGCCTCTCCTCCTTTTTCCAGGAGGGTTACTGTTCTTTTCTAAAGAAAATGAAAAAGGAACTCCTTCCCCTTGAATAATTATGGATTAGGCTTGTAAGTAAAAGCAGGACAGAATATTCCTACCCTCCTTATCATGATGTTTTGTACCTTCTCTATCTATTTCTTATTCAAAGTCAAACCCTCAAATCAGGCCCTTAAATTGATCTTCTAGCCAGCTGAATACTTCATAGTTTCTTTTTATACAGCATTTCTGTTCTTTTTGAAAATTGGACATTGGTTAAGCAGTAGGAGGTAACTTTAATATCTGTATTAGTCTTTGAATCATAATTCAATAATCCTTGACAGAATATGAAGGCTTCTGCCTACCTTGCCTATTTCGTCTGTGCTACTCCATTCTGTCAAACTCCACCTGCTGGATAACTTTCTTAGAACAAACCTAGAGAAGCTTTCACTTCATCAGTATTCATAAAACATCTAGATACAATGGTAAGACTGATGGAACGGTATACTTGACTATATATTCATCATGCTTTTCCTTTCTACCATTCTCTATCAGTACTACAAACAAGTGGAATCTCCGGGTAGATTATTTTTTCTAAACACTTCAGGTTAATTGGCCATATTCATAATCAACATCAATTTCTGGTAATGCAGTTATACACAGAAGTCATAGCTCCATGTCACAGCTAAGGAGAAAAAAGTCTACTTCATTCTTTCAGCCTCTGATAGTAGAAACGCAGAAAGTAACATGCAAATATATTTTTTAACTAATAGTTAGATAAAGTACCACCTTTAATTTTTCAAATGCTATAAAAGAACAGGTTAAAAAATGCCTTGGAACTCCAAAAGAGGACCAACTCCAGAGAATGCCAATTCTAAGCTAATTAGTTAATTTGAAATGTACACATCCATCCAAGTACTCGGTGACTCTTCTGGTTGCTGCTCCTTTCAGTAAATCAAGTCAAATCATGATACTTACATCTGTTAAAGCTACAATGAAGCATCCAACTTCCCTTATGGCTGAGCTCTACTACTCATATTCAGACACATTTCTAGCTTTGGAGTAGAAGGAAAAGTCATTGAATTTGACAGCTGTAGGTGAAAGGTAGCAACTTGAGATATTTTTATATTACAGAATTTACTTAACCACTTCCTTATACACGGCAAACATTCAAATTTCCAACAATAACTGACAGTAACTTTTTACCCATAATTTCCACCTCACAAAAACCATACTAAGTTAGATCTCTGTATTTGCTGATATTTCCCTCTTACAGTATGCCTTATAAATACACTTGCCACCAAGTACTATTCTTTATTACGATCTACCATCCTTTAGGAATAATTGAAAAGCAATGTAGGGTGATATACACTCAAGACTTGCAAATCATACCTGGAGCAGTCTGTGCTACTGAAAGGCTGGAAGAGGCATTACATTTCAGAACAGTAATTTAACCAAAAGTTGGGAGAGCATGTATTCATTTAGAATACTGCTCAAATATTTCTCTAGAAATAAAACATGAACGCTATTTTACACAGATGTTGTAGCATAGGCAGTAAAAAAAAAAACAAACCCTGTTGCGTGCAGATTATAATCATTTCAGAATGCTGTCACAAAATAAGCACAAGTGAAGACTATCTGCAATGAGAAGTTTTATAGAAGCTTCAAGACAACTACGAATCCTGATGAAGAACTACTTTTTCCCTCTTGAAAGAAGTCCATCTATTTTTGCCAGATCTCCAAATGAAACTGTGGCAGAACCTCTCTGGGCTGGTCTTGCCTAAGAAAAAAACAGAAGAAAAAAATATATAGGGCTCATTTTAACTTAAATTAATTTGTAAAAAGCTTTTAAAGCATCATTAATTTAAAAAGTACATTCAAAGAGAAAATAGTTCAGCTTCACATTACCTGTGATTCATGGAATTTCCAACCAATCATGTAGTAGATCTGAAATGTGGCAGGTACTGAGCCATCGCTATTTCCGTACATTTCTGTTAGGGTAGGAAGGGAAAGGAAAAAACCAGGTACACAGAAAGTCAGTTCTAAGAAATATTTAGTTCTCAGAACATAGAACTAAGTATGACATATTCATCATAATGACTCTTGGTGAAAGATTTAGGACAATAAAAATACCTCATACCAGTGCATCAACATAGTTCAAATACTATCATTATAATTAAGGTTAAAAATATCTGTACGATAACGGCAGATTTTGGTTTTTTGGGGGTTTGGTGTGTTGTGGTTTGTTTTTTTTTTTAAAAAAAACAGAGGTCAGACTCATTACCTCTCAAATACTTACCCTGGTATATTGCAGCAGCTGCCAACATTGTATCCCTGTGTAGCAGAGGTTTTCTATTCCAAGAGCAATTACTCTCCCCCATACCTAAAAATATGTTTTAGCTTTAAGAAAAGAAGATACAGCATATGCCATGAGTTAAGTGTCATGCACTAATGACAGACTGTTATTAAACCAGAATAAGTACAGAATCCTCTGAATCTCACTGTGAGAAAGCACAACGTACCGCAAATAATTAGGTGAGTTTCCTACCTATACTAATCGAAGCCTATTAATGCCAATGCTTTGCAATTTACAGCTTGTATTGCGAGGAATGATTTCAAATTATTACTACTTCATTCTGAGTCTTCAAACATTTAAATTTTCTAGTATGATTTATTTTAAGCACAAGTACACAGTGTTTATTCAGACACACCACTCACACACTCTTTTTTTTTTTTCTCTAACAGAATCACAGAATGGTTGAGGTTGGAAGGAACCTCTGGAGATCACAGATAACTGTGACTATCCCTTCCAACCTCAACCACTGGACTAGATGACCTTTAAAGGTCCCTTCCGACCCAAACTCTTTGATGATTCAGCATTAAGAAACACACAGTGAAACTCCTCTGTGTCTGCATCACTCATATACAAAACATTCATGTTTCCACAAAGTATATACTTGCCTTGCAAGTCTTCCATAACCTCAAACAACCCTGGGTAGTTGACCTGAATTTCATCAGTATCCTAAGAGAATTGAGAAGCATAGTTTTAAAGCTTATCAAGCTAAACCAGTGACATTATGCTAGCCTTCAGAGCCACTAATGGACTATTTATCTGCCACTTTTGTTCAGAAGAATATACTGCCTTAACATTTCTAAGAAGTTTAGTTTCGTAGCCCAAAGGCAATCAAATTTTAATTGAAAGCCCATTATTTTCTTCTTGTTTTCAGAAGAAACAGCAAGAGCGTCTCTAGTTTTTTCAAGCAGGTCTAACATTCTCTGACATTTCACCAAGATGACCATCCAAATTCTACTGGGCCACTAACCAAAGATATGCTTCGGTTGGTTTCATTAATCACAAGAAAGCTGAGAACAGAGGTAGTCCAGGCTATTTCAGAAACTTACTCAACAAGGTGCACGACATGCAGAAGGAAGCACTGCATTACCAATACATTCATAAATAGTATTCTTTATAGACCAGCAGCTCTGATGTGCTGGACTGTTCTATCTGATAGTTCTCTTATTTATTATTACCACGGTGAGAGTGTTAAAGCCAGCTCTCGACAGCAGATGTCCCAAATCAGAGACAGCAGTGAACGGTGATACATGAGGAGAAAATCCCCCTTCTCTCTCCAATTCTGCCAGCTGCAAAGAGCAGCGAAGCTCATACAGAGTATCTCCCCCAAACATTGCACCAATGAATACTCCATCTGGCTTCAGAACTTGGTGAATCTACAACGCAGAAAGAAAAAAAATACGCTTTTTGTTATTAAGTCTATGTAACTAAGAAGTTCTTAGGACTTTTAGGGTTTTTTTAAATGAACTTAAAAGCAATTGTTTTAACAGTTGCAACAGATTTTTAATATTGACTGCATTCCACAAGGCAAGCTGCACCAAAGCTTTTGGTAATACTGCAAGATACATAATCCATCTGAAAAGGGACCATTTGTTCTTAAGAAAGAGTGAATCCCCAGAAATTACAATAACAGTCAAGAAACACAAAATGCATTGTGGAAATCTAGGCTAAAACTATTTTCACTGAGATACTCCTAAACCAACATCCTCAGTTAATTTCCTTCTGAAAATAAGGTAGATTAAGATAGCTTCTGCTCACTTTTACTTTCTCAGATGAGGGCAGCAAAAATACTTTTTAACGGCTTGATTTAAGAGAAATGGAGGCCTTAGGTTCCAGTAGTGATCTCTGCACTTCTGAATGCACAACAGAGTAATGCAATTCTTATTATGTCTACCTCTACTTATTTTTAACTAGCCAGAAGAATAGTATCATGACTCAAACGCCATGGTTGACAAGCTGCTTTCTCATCTACTAAGTCCTAGCTCCCTTCCTACTCAGAAGGCAAATAAATTCATGCTTTCTTTCTTTCTTAAGAATTGGCAATGATCCCTGGTTTAGATATCCAGAAGAGCCATATTACGTCATCAGGCTAACAAGACAGCAAAAGCTTCAAACAGTTTATTTTACTGATTTGAAACAAAAGTCTTTTAAATTGGCTTTTAATTATTAATCATGCTACCTTTTCTATGCTAATAAAGAAGCCTTTAACTGAAATTTAAGCAGCTGAAGACAGTTTCCATTAGTTAAAGCCAGTAGTCCCAAAGTAGGAAATGAGCATTTCCAATGAAAGCTGGCCAAGAACCCCACTTCCCTCCCCTTCGTGGGATATTATAATGTGTCAGTTTTTACTGTGGGGGTAAAAAAATATTTGACACTCCATAGAACATTTAAATTCCAGAGAAAATGGTATATTTCTTGCCAAGATTTTTTTTTTGTTAAGTACTGAAAGCATACAGATTTCCATTTTTATTATTTCCATAAGAGCAGGGTACTCCTATTCATACCAACAGGTGACAGAATAGCACCGTAACTGACCTATTTGAAATAAATGAAAAAATAGCAAAGTAGTCAAAATATTCCTTGCTCTTGCTCTCAAGTTAGCTGATTTGAAAAAAAGTTTTCACCTGCAGGAAGGAGCTGAAATAATCCAAAATCAGATTTTTTCAGTAACAGTTTCAGTTTTCTCTCCTCAACAGGTGTTTCATTTCGAAATCAAAAAACCTTTATCTGATTAAAGCTGTATATCAAAATAAATAGCTGAGACATAAAAATAATACAAGTTCCATAAACCAGTTCTGAAGAAGCTAGATTTAGAAAACTCTTGTACTACAAGGAGTAAGAGTTAACACACAATAAAAATCAATAGCATTGCCTCAGTTTACATTAGTTACCATGATCTCAGCTATTGAAACTATAAAATATTACACAAACATGCGGTTTCACAGTTATTTATTCCACATTGATTTGCAACAGTAAATTAGTAGACCTATCAACTGATGCTCCTCAAACTGCCAAAAATACTGAAAAAAATACTCGTGTGCAACATGAGCTATTTCTGTACCTTTTATTTAAAGCAGACCTGGAAATATAGAGCACTCTGAATGCAAGTAATGGCAAGTATTGATTTTTAGTATTAAAAACCAGTTTCTTACCTCTCTAAAAGCTCTAGGAAGGTCATTCACCCAATGTAAACTGAAATAACAGAAGGGTACATTTTATAATTGCGTATTAAATAAAATTAGGGAATGCAAATAATTGTTACATTATCTAAGTATGTTTCAGAAGTCAAAGCAACAAACTAGCTTCTCAAGCTGCAAAAGTTCTGAAACGCCTGCCTAAGAGTGATACTAAAAAAAAAAAAAATTAATTTCAAAGTTGAGAAGATGCAAGCCCTGGAAACTAGTTTGTCAAAATGCAGGAAAGAGAGAAGCTACATGTATTTTGAAGGCAAACAAAGCAGTAAAAACCACCAGGATGGCAGTTTTTACTCATGTACGCTCATACTAACTACACAAGTACCTTTCTTCTCATTGTTTAATGGACTATTAATCTTCCTTTTTTTTTCTTCTTAAACTTACTCTGAAAAGAACATTATTTAATATCTTTAACCAAACAATAAAATGTAAATAAATGCTTAGTACATACCTTAAGCTGCTAACAACAAGATCAAACGTATCCTCTCTGAAAGGAAGGAATTCCTCATCAGCTACAACGTTGACCGTAGGGATTTCAGATTCTACAGCATTTTTCTAAGGTTGGGTTAGAAGAAAAACAACATCAGAAACTCAGTCTTTTACTTTCCTGTATTACGGAATTGAACCACATTAGCATTTAGAAAGCTACTTACTAAAGCATTCTCTGCAATATCAACTTGAATAAGTTTTTCAACTGTTTCCTGAAACAAAATTTTAGAAGTCTATCAAATATTTAAGTTGTTTTATAGGTTGACATTAGTCATTTTTTGGAACACTTACACATATTTATGATAAGTTAGAAGGAATCTCTTCAACACTTGATAAACACTTTTTATAAAGCAGAAAACATTTCCCCCCCCTCCAACATAGTACTTCATAATTGCTCCCAGGGAGAATAGCTGAGGTAGAAGTATTAACAGAAAACACCTTCTGTGTTTTTAGGTATAAGTTCAGTCAAATATAAGCCATGGATTAACAGCCAATGAAGTACCTTCACTTATAGTGCATTTCATGATGGGTAAACCGTTCACCACTTAAGTCTCCATAATGATACTTCTCTTTAACCGCTGTGTCCAACAGATTGATTGAAAAACATGCATATCCCTACTCAAGACTAAAGGTTAACTGTCATACAACAGATGGCTTCCCATGCACTACCATTTATCTAGTCTTCAGTGACAATATAGAAAACAGCCTGCACACCACACATCTTTGGTCTACAGCTACAGATATTGGGGGGTTGAGGGACAAAGATTTACCTCATCAAGATTCAGAGGATTGTTCTAAGTTATAGTAGAGCCTTATTTGAAAACAGAGGAATAAATACATACTTGCTTTAAACACTTCTAAGTATGAAGAGCCAGTACCTTTGTTAAATGCTGAGCTATGTAACCTCTTCCAGAGCCAACATCCAAAGCAAGAGGAAATGTTCTAAAGGATAAAGTTAGCAACATAAAACATAATCAAGACTTAAAACTACTTTAAATTTTAGGCTATATTAAGTTTTGTCTGCTAATTTCCAAGCGTCTTTTCAAATTAAACACATCGAGCATCCTACCGCTGCCACAAAAGGGAGAGAAAGGCGCTCACA